TGATCAGTAACCACCAAGTTTCCAGCAGATTCTCTCAAGTCTATTCATGGACGACCTCCTGTTGTTAAATTGAACTCAAGTGTTGACTATCGAGGTTAATCACTCTGATGATTCCTTTTGTTTGTTCTTATATTTTTTTGAACTTGCCTTTCTCTTGCTTATACATTGTTTTTATTTGTAGTGTTAAACTCAACAACATGACTAAGCCATAGCATAAAGTATACTAGTAGTTGCCCTTTTCTCACTTTAAGATTTGTATTTGGACCTCTACTAATTAGTAACAAGAGTATATAAAAAGGTCCTTGAGATACTAAAGCTTTGACACAAAAAAAAGGTTTTACTAGAGTGAGAAATGTTGAGTATTCTCGCGTTACGGATACTTATTTTCTTATCATCACATTTCAAATATTCGTTAGTCCATGTAATGTAAGATGACTACCATTTGCATCGACTATGAATGGTCTGTAGATCGAACTAACGCGAATCCCAATTTACTTGTGTAATAAATATCTAAATTGATGGATTGTAAAGTAGGAGTTGCTCTGTTATAAAAATTGTACTAATACTTTGTGAAAAGTTGATCTTGGTGTAGGCATCTGTGACATGATCGGCCAAGCTTCTAAAATCAGTTTATTTTGAAAAGTGCTTTTCTCAAAAGTGCTTTTCAAAAAAAGTACTTTAGGTGAGGAGCAATTTGTGTTTGAATTTGAAAAATACTTTTGAGCAACAATTAGTGTTTGGCCAAGCTTTTAAAAAGTGCTTCTAAGTTGGGCGTTTGGACATAAAATTGTGAAATTCCGGTAAAAAGTGAAAAATATTTTCAAATGAAAATGGTATTTGAAAATTAAAGTTGTGTTTGGACATGAATACAATCTGGAGTTGTTTTTGAATTTTTGTGAGTGATTTGACGTGAATTTTTTTTTGGTAATTAAATCTTTTGTATTACCAGGGAAAATATTTACAAGTAAATCAAACCCTTACAAGATACCTTTTTCCTATACATCACATCCCTCCCCATGAACTGTTATTTACACTTGTATCTAACTATTACACTGGGTACCAATCTAGTCTATGTAGCATTCCCACTGTATGTTTGGTACTTCGACAATGTAGCTCTTGAATGATCTCCTTACTTACTGCTTCCCAACCTGTCACCTTTGCTTGAAAAATTCTAGTATTCCTTTCTTGCCAAACATGGTATACTGTTGCTGCTACTGTTATTTTGTACAACTCTGCAGCAGCTGTTTTCCTTTTAGTCTTCTTCTCAGCCCATCGTAGTTCTTCATCCCAACCAGCTACAGGTCTTCTAATTCCTTGCCATGCTAACAGTGTGCTCCACAATGCTTTTGCTATA